TTAACAGATATTTTATTTTTATATTGTATACCGAATTATAATTATCGTATCCATTTACAACGTAGGTATTTAAGTATTAGACTTTTATCCTTATTCCTTAGTATTTCAAGTAGAATAAGTCTGGAAGTTTTCGTTCGAATTTTGTTTGCGCAATATGTCAAAATTTTCAGAAAAATTATCTGAATCAAATTTTGCTTTAAAACATATAGGTTGTCATTTGAAAAACCAAAGTTGGTATCACTACAGGATACTCCTTAAAAGTTGTGAAAAATCTAAGTACTCAAAAATATCGTCTTTAACTACACTTAAAAATTTCAAAAATCAGAATTTGAATATATGCATAATTTAAGCATAAAAATGGGGTGAGCTAATATAATACGTTTCGCCAAAACTAATTACAATTGCTTTACACCACACCACCACGATCTGTTATCACTTATAATTATAGATAATTCATCATGTATTTATTTATATACTACTGGTAAATAAGAATTATTGATTATACAATCATAAGTATTTTTAAATAATATCATGCAATTGGTTCATTTCCATCACGTAAAGTTTAATTTTTACAAATTAATATTGCAAGGTGTATCAATATAAAATTAGAACAGCACATATTAGTAACATATTTATAGTCATTAATTATTAGTATATTGATAACCATTCTCAAAACTAAGTAAATTTTAGATTTTTACTTTTATAGATTAGACTGACGAATTGTGCAAAAAAGCTGCAATAAGTATCTAGAGTATCCGCAATTATCTACGAGATCTTATTTTGTATGGAAAATTCTAGAAAAATCTATGCACTGAGAWTCAAATCTAAAAGTCGCAAATGTTATCTCGCTTGTTTGAGTTTCACAATCGATAATCGTTTCAAATCGTCAGTGTTCGACGCGTCCTCCGGAAGAAGAAGGAACTGACCGTCACCGTTATATAATCGAACATGAATATCGTATATATGATATGATATTGTTATTAATTATTATAATATTATAATATAACTAATATAAGGACGACCACGTTTTGTATGATAATAAAAATAATAATAATGTACGAATCCTCGCCAAACACACGCCGAAAGCTAAAATATATTATAAGTAATAACAATAACTCTTTGGGGCTATATAAGTATGATTGATATTATACTGTTACACCCATAATATAATATTATTATTATAATATACGCACCGACACACGCGAAAATATTATACACAATAAACATAAATATATGTATATAGGTACGCTCAAAAAGCCCGCGTGTATGTGCATCGTGCATAGCGAAGAACAATGCTGTGGCATAATAATAATATAATGTATGGCTTTCGATATAATATTTGGCACGTCAGAGAGGGATCGCTGTGCATAATCTACYCGTTCGGGTTATGCAAACAACCCCTTACCAAAACTGTGGGGAGGGAGTTTGACGAGAGCAGAATCTCGGCGGAATAATAATATAACACATATTATATTATATATATATATAGGCTTAGGTACGCGAGATCAACGTAATAATATTATAGGTGTATAATATTATTACATTAGGTCGGTTACATTTTGGTCGGTGTGGTTAGGCGTGCAGGGGAGCTGCTAGCTGTATTCGTGATTAGTCTCGACACGAAGATTTCGTGAACACACACATTATAGGTAGGTACATAAAGCGCAAGGGGTGTCGTGTGTGTTAAAAATACACGAGTCTGATATTATTATGACGTGCCGAATATTATGTAACAATAATGACGATATGCGTGTAAACACGTAGTTGTATATACACCGTCATCCATCACCCATAAAATTCACGGTCTTATGATTTTGCGTCTTCGTCGTCGTCGTCGATGCAGACGGACAGGTTGCAGCAGATTGTCGTGTAACTAMTATTATGTTTATGGCACTTACTTATATGGCAAWATATATATATATGCCTGAACWYTTGTATATAAATGCCTCAATATAATAAAATATTATACGCATAATAATATCGTCGTTATTATTGTTATAATTATTTCTATCGCCACATAAAACCACGCGTGTATGACGAATATTTAAACTCCACGTATTATTATTAATATACCTAATATTATTATTGTATGATTGAAGATATATATTGCAGGCTTATAGGTAGATAAGTGTATAATTAACGATTATTCGCCAATGTATACAAAAAAAAAAAAACTAAGTCTGATAGAAATATTGTAATATCCATATTTATTATTTAATATTATAATCCACCGGTGTATGCGTATCTTTTATTGGCTTTCGATTCGGATGAATGATCGTCGCTAGTTTTTGTGTTTATATTATTATAATAAGTGTATAAAGTGTATTATATTATACCATGCAATGACATAATGCCTAATAATAAAGATGACATTTTTTCSACGGATATTAAACAAATATACGTACACATTACGTATAGGATTCAGTACCTAGCGGATCTGAAGATCATATGAGGAGGGGGCGAATTGGTATCATAGATTGATAGGTAATAACAAAGACGTTACTGAAATCCGAATACATATTTCCGATTTTCATATTAAAAAAAAAATACTTTTTTTTTATCAATTATTTATAAATTTAATGTTTTAGCTAATAGCTATGACTTATGAATTTCATGTTTTTATCATACGGTGCTATAATTTAAGTAAAAAGAATTCCCCTGGGAGGGGTAATCGCCACGTCGCCCCCCCTCGAATCCACCACTGATAGGATTATGCATTTTAATCGAAGTGTAATTGATCAATGCTAATGTCCTATCTCCCAGCGAAGTGAGCTGGTAAGATCGAAAATTAAATCTAAACGACCCCTAAGCCATTATATCCTACGCGTTCGTCGAAATAAGCGGCCTTGTATACGTATATAATGATAAACGATTTTTTATTGTATATATACTGCAACGATTATATTATGAAACATGTATAAATAAACGAAACTCTAATTTTTCACCTCCACCCTTCTTTATTATAACGAAAAAAAAAATGTAACCAAAACGCTGTAGCAGATTATTTCCCATTAATAAAATAATGAACGCGAATAAGTGATTGCACTTTGTAGAGTGCGCTCCTCGGAGAAGCCTAACTAACAAAGTGCTGTTGCCGTCGTCTGTTAGAGCTGTTGTTCGGAAAAACGAGTAAAAAAAACGTGTTCCCACCGTTAAATAGGGCGTATTACAGCAGTACAACAGTTAGTAATATTAATAATGGGAAAAAAAAATGAACAGAGTACCTACTACCTACTACCCTACCAACGCCACGGCTGTGGAATAAAGGTTCGAGTGGAACGACAACGAGAAGACGGAAAGCTGGAAATTATTTGAGTTATTAAAAGCGTACTCAAGAAGACGGTAATAAATTCATCGTCCTTTTGTTCATTTATAATATATAAGTCGGGGAACAAACGCCTCATTGAAGGCGATGTATAATTGCCTGCAAGTGGGAATCGTGAATTCGTGACCAATAAAAATATTTGATTAGAGGGGGGAGGGGGAGTAATCATCTCCGAGCTCCAAGTCTTTGAGGAACGCACATTTAAAATTGTACAAAATACAAAATAAATATATACCGAAATAAATGTAATAAAGATTGTGTGAAAGCGAGGGTAATATCGGCCGAACTGCTAATATGTATATACAGTCAACTCACGATATAACGAATTTCAAGGGACCGAAAAAAAAAATTCGTTATATCGAAAGTTCGTTACATCGAAATTCGTTATATCAAGAGAATATACCAGTCGATTGAATTCGTTATAACGAGATTTAAAACAAAAATTCAAAATTTAAATCAATAAAATACAAATACATATGTATGTACATATTTATTTAATAATTTTATTATTCGTATACATATGTATAAAATATATTATATTTTGCGTAGAGCCACTAATCGACATAAGTCTTATCTTAATTGCGATACTGTACTTGAGTGTACTATCGCATGATAATCATCAGAAAAACTTCGTAATCTATTATGTGGTAATAGCAACATACTTATATAACCTATATACTACTTAAAAATATATAAAATTTTCATAGAGACATGTATCTTATCTTAATTAAAATTAAAAATTCGTAATAGAAAGCTCAAATTTATAAAAATTCGTTACATCGCGAGAGTTTTGATCAAAAACGCTTCGCTACATCGAGGGGACATAAATACATTACATTTGTTCGTTATAACTACCGCGATATTTTCAAGGGACCGGTAGTTTTATTCGTTATATCGAGATTTTCGTTATATCGCGAGTTGACTGTACATTTTTTATACAAATCTKATTAATGCAGCTWATCCATCACTTGACCGAGTTATTTGAGTTTTAAAACAATTAATTAGCTTGCACATAATCATGTAAATTATTTTAAAACTTAAACGAGAACAGCGTCTCGAAATTATAYACAGTGCAGAACTTAGATCTTAGATGGATTTAAAGTGCTGGTAAAAAGTGTCCAACGTATATAATAATACAATATTCATCGGAACATGAAAATTCTAATATCCATAAGAATAAATAATAATTGTTCTTGGAAAATCATCAAAATTGCGGATTGAGAAGACACGAAAATGAAGAAATCTTTGTATGTGTATACGTAGAATTATGAAATAAATAAAAATGGAAGAAAATCATTGGAAATCAAATTTGAAAGCAATTATTATTATAAGTTGATATAATACGATTGWTGTGCTGTTCGAGTACATAAAAGGAGGGAAACTCTTTTCAAGGTATTGGACGAACTAAATATATACCGAATTATACCTTTATATAGTATGAGGATCAAATCAAAGTGGAGAATGTTGAGAGCGCGACCAATATCGCCGTGCACAATAATAATATAATAAGTAAATAACTATAATAACTGCAGTGATGAAGTGTGAGTAAGTATACCTGTCTAGTTGTTGTTACATGAGGCTATACGCTGTTATGTTATATATATATATATATGACGCCTCGTTGTACGCGTTTGCACTGTTAATGCAATTTCGCAGAATTATATTATTACATTACCTTCGATCAATTGATCCAACATGGCATAGACGTGAGTTGTAGCTTCGTCAGTCATCACCCATCCCCCGGTAGTGATCTCCAAACGTCCTTCTGCCAGTAACCGCTGGACCACTTTCTTTTTCGTCGGATGAGCGCTGAAAAAGTACAATAAAACAGTAAAATAACTATGCGTATTACCGATACCGCGACTTGTCGTTTGAAAATCAAGTCGTTTTATACGCCTGTATATTTTTTTTCTCACAAAAACTATACAGATTAGTGTAGTCGAAAACTTATCGAAAGCGCACAGGCTTGCGTTTTAAAGTTTGAAAAAAGCATTTAACTTTTTTCACAGCATCACCTGCTATGTATATTTATTATGTTTACAAATTAAATGTTTGTCAGCAAAACAGGTTTTTGTTTAATATTTAGACACGATCGCGGTACTTACGGAATTATAAATCGTGATGAGATAAATTGAAACTATTTTTCAAAAACTGTCACGAGCAGTGATACTGTGATACAATTAACGCTTGAAACTTCTGTATGTACATTGGACGCACGCTATACACAGA